AAATATTTCAGCTAATTTCTTTAATAAGGAGACACATATCATTACAAAATAACAGGTTGACAATAAAGACAGAAACAGTCCACATGAGGATAGGGAAGGGACCATTAAAAGCAGCTTCCTGCAGGCTTAGGGGAGTTAAATCACGTTGCACCTGAAGTAAGGAAGATAACTGGAGGTGAAGACTCCAGTAAATTTAGTCAGTTTGGGAAGCTTCTACATCACATAGGAAATATGGCTGGAATGGGAAGGAGCTGAGACCCCACCCTACACCTGAGTATCAGATGTCTGAAGCCTTTTGGAACTTAGCCTGTGGTGGGTCATCATCATGTCATACAGCTGCTCTATTTGGAAGTTGGAGTGCCATCATCTCCCTCTATAGTTATGCCTTTAATAGTAGCCTCAAATGCTATTAGGTGGTCAAATAATGATAGGCTGAACTCTGTTCATAAATATCGTGCTAAAGGCACAAAAGCACCTGGCACTTTAAAGCAGGTGGGAAAAATCCCAGTTAGCATTGTATTTTTCTTCCTAAGCCATTTGCAACACTTCTGCACTGCTGCCATCACTCCTTTGATTTCTAAAGGTTAAAGTAGCATAAGAGGAATCCCTGATGACCAAGTACACTGTCAATCAAAACTGCCTTGAGGATCTTCAGGGATTTTATTAATACTTCACCACATTAAACACTAGCCTCTTTCTCTCAGGATTGAGTCCTTGGTCCTCTTATCCATAAACAACCAATTACAAAATCACAGGAGGTAGAGGCCTCTTTGCCACACACTCCTTAAGTACAGAAGATACTTTAATTAAATTATGTTAGGTAGCCATTCTGAAAATCCTAGCTAAAAAGTGCTATCTTCTTCACTTAATTCTTGACCTGCTCACTATTGCACAGCTTCTTTCCTTGAAGCTGTGCAATACATAATCATTTGCACCAAAGTGCAAAGTCCATGTACACAAAACATGGCTGCATTAGTTGTGTTTGTCTCTTAACCATTAAGAATTATGGTTTTGCATCTTACTGAAAAAGGCAGACACTATTTTAGGCAGAAAAGCTGTGCAAGCTTTGAAAATAATTTACTTACAGTTCACTTTAATGAACTGGTACTTTTAAGCAGTAGTGTATTTTTCTCAGTATTCCAACAGACTTGACAAAGAGGAGGCTGCTTAGTACGAGAATTGCAGCAGTAGTGTGAGATCTGAAGCATATCTTCCAAATAATTTTGAAAGCATGTGTTTTATATTCTGTTGCCAGGCATAAAGTGACAAACAAATTGCTAGTATTTGCCAAATAGCTCTAATTTTTTCAAGCTAAGAGGAAAGAGCTCCAATGTCAGTTATTGCTTCTCTATTCTGGAAAATTGTGGAACATTTAAATTTCCCCCAACATGCCAGAGCAACCCCATGAGAAATTCAAATGTTGGTCAGCCTCCCTGTTGGTCAGTGTATAGCCACTTCTATCCTAATAATTCTTGCCAAGGGGAACAGCCAAAATAGGTTATGGGCACTGATAGATCTACCAGATGTTCCAGTTCCCAAATCTGCCACCAGGGCCCCTACACACAGGCTAAAAAAAGGCTTCAGACCAATGCCATTCATAGCCGAACAAGGCCAGACCCCAGGTAGAGCCTCAAGCCAGCCTTATCGCTCATCAGTGACCCAAGTGGATAACATAATAGTTGGACAGCAAGACAGACAAAGAAAGCAGGGACAGGGAAGCAGAGAGAGCAAGGATCACCTGTTAGCCAATCCCCATTTTAGGATCCTGGCAGCCTGTGATCTTATATGGCTTCTAAAATTTGCTTCAAAAGTAGAGGCTTCAATACCACACAGAACATTGAAGCTGCAATGTTGTGGCTATCTGAACATAGTAAAAATGCCACCAGTTTTGCAAATATTAATTATACAAGACACTGATGAAACTTACTGCCATCTTGGTGTTATATCTTATCCCACCCCTCCCTGCTTTGCACCGAGTATATATTTTAATGGATCAAGCATGCTTTGTTGCTTTTTTTTTTGTTTTAAAAAATTATTACTTTTTATTGAAAATAAATGTATGTTGTTACAACCATTCTCTCTGATTTTTTTTTTTTTACAATCCCCCTCTATTGCGTTAGGTAAAATAAATTCATTCATACCACATTTTAAAAATAATTCTGTAGCCTGGCTGTATTTCTAGAAAATGAGTGATAATCCACATATTGTATGAGTTCTGCTCTTGCATGCTTTTACGTAAATACTGTGCTAGTTGTCATGCATCATTTATAAGAAGGTTGTATTTATGTTAATATTAGATCTCTATAATCATTTTATACATAAGTACACACACACATGATGGAATTTGAATGAGGCTTAGATGGCTTAATTGATTCATTTTCTCAACCCTTTTATACAGAAAAGGAACTCAACAAAATATACTGACTATTAAACCATTTTAAACCATAGAAATAGAAGTTTTAGTTCAATAAAAGGGTATCTTTTGATTTATTAGTATTAATATTTCCAGTACCCTGCTTTCAGATAGGGCAACCTGGGTGGCTAGCAGAAAGAACAAAGCAGGTTTGCATGATGAAGTTGCCATTTTGTCCTATGAACCATTAAAAATTAAGATACTCAAATGTTTATTCTAAGCTAGTGAGAGCACAGCAGCCTTCTTACACCTCACAGTGATATCTTCTTTCCAATGTTCAGCTAGATTCAATCAAACTGGCTGGATATACCTTTTAACATGAAGTGCATCTAATATATTATTAACTAGCGAAGACTGTCAGAGCCATTGCTTTCAGCACTTTTTTTTTTTTTTTGTCTTCTGGCAAAACTAACAATTTCTGTGTAAAAGTAACAATGCAGAAGTATCTATCAAATGTGAAGTAACAATGTGAGTAGACGCACTATCCTGGGGTATAAGCACCAATGCAGTTAAACAGCTCAGGTAGCCATCTGTTTTGTAGTGTGAATGAAGGAGTGATTTATAATGGATACAGCTTATAAGTAGAAACTGTCAAGCCAGAAAGGTATATTAATTTTGAGGGCTCTATAAAAAGTCATTTCAGGTCAGATTAGAGTTACATATCAACATATTTAAAATGGCACGTGTTTGCTAACACTGGAATTAACATATCTGCCTTTAAATAATGACCTCTTGAAAAGCAGCTAAGAAATGAATAAATGACAGAATGATGAGGATATTTTTGCAGCTCAGAGCAAATATTACACTCATACAATGGAGGATGCAAAACCAGAACTGATCCCACATTCTGCAGCTGTGGAAAGGATTCTGCAGTCCAACTGGTGATAAAAAGGAAAGACAAAAGGACTATTGTCTCTGCAGACAATATTTTAATTCAGTATTTCTTAAACTTGATAACTTGAAGATGTGTGGACTTCCACTGCCAGAATTAAGTGGAAGTCCATGCATCTTCAAGTTGCCAAGTGCGAGAACCACTGTTCTATAATTGATCACAGCAAAAATAAAAATTTGTCTGTCAGACCCTATTCAAACTATAGGCATCTGTAAGAGGCTCTGCTTCCATTCCCCCAGTCTCATTCACAGCAATTTTAAAGAGATGATGGCTAATTTCAATTCTGTTTACCCTGAAAAGCAAAAAACCTCAACAATAATATGGCCAGCAAAATTTACCCTTCTTTCAGCTAACCTTAGAAATGATATGACAACAATCTCCTCAATGGTTTATAATCCCACCAGGAAAGTTACCTTACTTGTCAACATTTGCTTTTAGTGGAGAGAGATTCATTCTTTTCTCATTAGAACAGTCTCACCTTAGAGTAGTTCTGTTCTGAAGATGTAGGTCTAAATTTGAAAACCAAAACTCATGTTTGATTTCAGAAGTCCACTAGGATGCATTAATGATGCTTGAAATCTTATAACCTTGCCAAATGACAGTATTTAAAGCTAAAGAGGCACAATAAAGGAATTGGGAACAGGTTTCATTTACCCCTTTGTAGAACACGCTTGCATCAAACTTATTTGCACAGAAAAGTTCTATTAAGTCTAATCTTTCTGATTAAGCATATAAACAAGTACATACGCTTCTTCAGAGCCAGTGTTGAACAATTTCAATATTCCCTTTGTGTAGTTAGGGCCAAAGCTCCAAGTGTGATAGCTCACCAATGCACCCAGTGAACCAAGGTAAAATTACAGCCATTTAGATGTAATTAAACGAGGAAGGGGATTTGGGGAGAGCACACAGAAAGCTTTCTACTGTTTTGTCTCTCTGCTTGGATATACCAAGGCAGCTTATTTCGAAGCATTTAAGCAGGTGGTTCTCACACAGGATGTTTCTCACTCCTCACTAGTTGTACAGTGAGTTAATCAGGTGAAAATGTGTAGAAAAGAATAAAGGATGCCTACAACATATTGAATGAAATGCTTTAAGAATTAGAATCAACTGTCTTAACTCAAATTGTTCAATTTTCATCTGTATGATCTATCTATCCTTTGCATTGATTTTTTTGAAAGAAAGAGATCTCACACAGGAAACTCAAAAATTCTTCTGGCTTCACTTTCAGTCATGGGTACTTTGTTTGATTTGTTTACATTTTAGGTACAAGTGGAACAAGCAGGCCTTTGATTACTTTGGTCCTTATTTGCAGTCTAAATGATGCAACAATGATAAAGATGACCTCACTCTTAATTGGATTATCTATCTATCTATCTATCTATCTATCTATCTATCTATCTTTGGTTATTCGGGTTTTCTCCCACGTAAGATTGGAAGTATCTAGGCAACGTTTCGATGAAGTCTCATTCATCATCTTCAGGCTTGTGTCTTCGGCTCTGTGCTTCTCAGAGTGAGAAGTACTGAGAAGCACACTCTGAGAAGCACAGAGCCGAAGACACAAGCCTGAAGATGATGAGTGAGACTTCATCGAAACGTTGCCTAGATACTTCCAATCTTACGTGGGAGAAAACCCGAATAACCAAAGATCCACATACAAATACCCGCGAGAACCTCAGAAAATATATATATATATATATTCTAAGTTAAGAGGGACTGAGAAACAAACTATTCTTTGAATATATAGCACTACTCAGTGAGGCACCAGAATGGAATGCTTTTTGTATTATCAATCTGCTTTTTGTTAGGCCCTTACAGGGAGCACAACTAGCACAAAGACAAAGCAACTAATATTCCTGAAGGCAATGCTGGCAGATGGTTACAGTTAGAATTTAGAACCAGATGCAAGATGAATAGGTACAGCCAGGAAAAACTGCTGAATACACTGGATTTCCTGTTTCTCTCTCCTCTTAAAACTGTCTGATTTAAAAATCTGTTCCTATTGTACCTGTACTTACAAGTCAGATCCAAGTCTGAGCTCTGCTCACTCAGCCTCATAACTGAAAACCATTACTTTACTCCTTCAACCCTGATCAGATATTCCAGACAAAAGCAATTCAGTGGTCACCAATAATAAAAACTACTCTCTCAAACTTTCCTAGGCTCATGGTTTTGATATTTCACCCTCTTTTCATTCATTCTAATACAATATTGAACACCAAAAAGAAGTTTTTATTTCAAAAATCTTATTTCCTCGCCTCCATTTAACCTCCTTCCACTACCATCAGTCTGAAAAGGTATCTGTATCTGGCACTACAGAAAAAAACAGGGGCAGGTTTTTTTCTTCCAGAGATCAGTGCAAGCACCAGGGAACAATGATGATATGGCTTGACTTTCTGGGATTAGCAAAAAGAAATCGTGAATGTTTTGGCATCCAGACAAGAGAAGGCCCTGCTGCTTTTGGTATATCTTTGGTATTTTGGTTGGAAGGGATTCACTTTCCCACTAATTTCTGGCTTTGCTCCCTTAATTAAATGTGACTGGGGGTGGAGGGGTGGAGTTTCCAACAGATGGTACTTATTTTTTTCTAAATTAAACTTCCTTAAGATACTTATTGCACTGTGCTGGCCACTAGATGGACCTTCCTGCTGTTTCTAACCCATCACTTATCTACAAGTTCCTGCTCTTCAGCATTAGAAAAACACACAGTCCTCACTCTCACATCCTTTAAGTTCCAAATTCGTAAAAATAAACATTTTTCACCAATCAATCTGCAGCACTCAACAGAGTTATAGTCTATTGTGGTTTTAAAAGAAGAATGGCAGTAAAATGGCATGATAGCAAATGTTTGCAAATCAACCCAGGCCTATCATTTTTATCCAATTTGCAAAGCTGCCTAAGATGCTTGACATAGCTTTTTTCTGATGCATCTAAGCTTGGCACTGCTACCAATAAGATAACTATCTTAGAAAGAGTGAAATTTTCATATAAATCGATAGCTTGTGAAGGCTAGAATAAATATCCCATGATGTTTGGCTTTTTTTTCCCCCAAGAAAAAGAACGTTTTTGCATTCTGCCTTCCACAGAAGCATGCATTTGTAGATTTCATGCTCCAATGATCTTCTGGTACCACTCCATTGTTCTAATTAAGAACAGAACATTCAAAGGTTAACAGAAGACCCACTATATTAGTTATTACAGGGCAATTATCATTTGGCAACTTGTATGCCCCAAACCATAGTCCTCTCATTACAGACAATTAATCCACCAGCCATCCACATCTTCAGAGATGTCCCAGTGCCAGTATTGCTTTTCCTGAATATTCCTGATAGATGGCTAATGGCCAAACCTTACTGAACACAGTTTTGCAACAGCGCCTTTTCATACAACTTGCTTCCCCCCTCCCCGCCCTCAAAAAAAAACCAAGCACAGAGTATCTGGCCATCTCACATTTTCAGGCTCTGGTATCATCCTGTAGCACAAGGTCTCATTTAAGGAGGAAACTCCCAAAACAAGCAAAAGCAAAGCTGTTTTGTGCTGTTATTTGTGATGGTCTCAGGAAAACCCAAATAAAAAGCTTGCTGTACACTTGAAGAGAATAACACATAAAGATGGTGGGACATGCAGCAAACCAACTACTTGGAAGAATATGAAAAGAAGGAACCACCATGCTTTTAAACCACTTCTTCCTGGATACTCTTGAGTTCACCGGGATTCCCTTGTAGCCATCAAAGAAAGAGTGTTGCAGCTTAGAAAAGAGAACAAAAACTAAATGTTGCCTAACTGAGGTATTGATAGCTCTGGATCACTTTGAATGTTCATTAGGTGATGTTGGAAAATGGAGCTGCCTATTTGTTTTTCCCAAGAGCTGCATCCACCTCTTCTTCAGGTTTCAAGGAGTGCCACTGGGCAATGGGGCGGCGAGGGTTGGCAAGCATGTCAGACCAGTGCCTGAGCTCGGTGCCTGTGGAATTGTTGCCAACAAAGACTTTTCCAATGGCTTCGTTCTTTCCCAACTTGTCATAATCCAGGACAGTAATTACAACTTGCACTTTCTGGAGAGAAGCAAGAAAACAGAGATCATTAGTAAGGCCAAATTAACAGAAGAACAGAGTTGGAAGGGACTGTGGAAGCCTTCTAGTCCAACCCCTTGCTCCAGCAGGAGTTCCTACATCATTTCAGACAAATGATTGTCTAATCTCTTAAAAATCTCCAGTGATGGAGCCCTTGCAACTTCTGGAGGCAAGCCATTCCATTGATTAATTGTTCTAACCATCAGGAAATTTCTCCTTCTCTCTAGGCTGCTTTTCATCCATTGCTTTTCATCCTGCTTTCAGGAGCTTTGGAAAATAGGTTGACCCCTGTTCTTTGTGGCAGCCCTTTAGATATTGGAACACTGCTATCATGTCATCCCTATTCCTTTTCATTAAATTAAACATATCCAATTCCTGCAACCTCTCTTCATATGTTTTAGCCTTCAGTCCCTCATCATCTTTATTGCTCTTCTATGCACTCTTTCTAGAGTCTCAACATCTTTTTTATATTGTGGAGATCAAAAGTGGATGCAATATTCCAAGTGTGGTCTTACCAAGGCATTATAAAGTGGTATTAATATTTCATATGATCTTGATTCTATCCCTTTATTAATGCAACCTAGGACTGTTTTTGCTTTTTCAGTAAGATCTATGAGATAATTCATGGGTGAAGAGGAGAGGATCTTGAAAATATACTTTAGTATTTTCTCAGTTGTAGCTGGTGCTAGAAAACATGTTCATCCAGACTTTTACATGAATTGATGCTGCTTTATTCCTGGTTGCTGTTGTCGTTCTGGTTTTAATATTTTAATCTGTTAGCTTAATATTATAATTCTAGTCACTTGCTCTGATTTTATTATTTTAATCTTATTTTGTACCCCACACTAGAGTTATGACTATAATAAAAAGTGAATAATACATGTTATAGTTCATTTAGTAAATTAATAAAATTAAATATTTAGAGTATTCAGAAAATCTCCAATGAGAAGATTTAAGTAGAAAGAATTCTTCAGGTAAATATCATTTCTGGCTGAAGCTAGGCCAATGTTCTTCTAAAGAGAAAAGAAATACTATTTTCATGATAAAGTTATGTTCTGTTACATGCTGATATTCCGCGTATAGATTTAAATCCAAGAGGAACTTATTCACAGTGTGTGTGTGTGTGTGTGTGGTGTGTGAGTGAGAGAGAGAGAGAGAGAGAGAGAGAGAGAGAGAGAGAGAATATGAAAGAAATGTAGGAATTGTTAATGTGACTGACAACATCAGCAAAGATATTTGGCAAAGGGCTTCAATAGCTAGCCAATTAATCAGCTTGCTTGCCTGACTGCCTGTCCTTTATAAAAATTTTAACCTTCTCAATCTGAGTCCTCTATATTTGGTAAGACTATTAATTCTCCAGATTCCCAACAAGCATGACCACAGACTTGGACGTAACCGAGTAGAAAACACTAAATTTTTAAATCAGAGCTGCAATATACAGTTTCACTTCCTTGGTCCCAGTGCAGTAGAGGCTTCAGAAAGATACATAAATTAAACTTATATCTTTATAATATTTCTAGCCTATTGAGCGCCACAAAAGATCTGTCCGATACAAAAGAATATTGTGAAAGAATCATTGGATTATCCTCCCCCACCCACTCTGCTGAAAGGTTCCCTGTACAACCTTACAAGTAAACTTTTATTAAAGGGGCATAAAATGAGAAGGAATGAGGAGAAAGGGAATCATGTACTGCTCCAAACACACACCCTCTAGATATATCAGATTACAGCTATCACCATCTCCATCCAGCATGGCCAACTGTCTGGATGATGCCATAGCCATGATGATAAATTACTCAAGATATCGGAGAGACACCAGCTGCATTTGAACCCATTTCCTTTCCAAGGTTCAACCATCATTGATGGAGAACTGCCTGTTTCCGATTATGGATCTGCCTCTTGTGCTTTGTGAAGCAGTGGGAGACAATGGAGAAATATGCCAACTCAAAGTTTTCTGGGAGCTGCCTGCATAATCCCACTCCCTCAAATGAGAAAAATGGGAACCTGTATCTGTTCAAAGGGAATCTCAAAGCTGAAAGATTCATTGAAATAGGGATTCAGGGTCTTCTTCTTGACTGTAGTCTTCTTCTTCTTAAGCCTTTTGCCATTCTGCAGCAGATGAATTTTCACATAAGGATCTGAAACAATAGAATTTTACAATCAAAACTAAATAAATACATAAACAAGCCATTCAAAGATATAGATAAAACCTCAAGAACAGGCTATCTGGAGATTATCTCTCATATACAAAGTGAATGAAAGGACAATTGCCCCTGCCCCAAATATTTCAACCAGAGGTCACTCTATGAAACCGAATCCTTCAATAGAGAAAATATTTTTAATGGAATATGTTGTTGGATTTTGGAAGTTTCTGCCACAAGATGTAATGCTGGCTGCCAGCTTGGCTGACTTCAAAAAGGTTGGACCAATTCATGGAAGTCATGGGTATTCATGGCTGTTAACCTTGATGGCAGAATGACTGCGTATGAAGCCTTCTGCTGGGACACTTGTTGTGTAGTTAGTTTGTTACTGTGAGAAAAGGCTGCTGGAGTAGATGGATCAGAATTTTGATCTAAGGGAGTGTGGCTTCTGTTCTTATGTTTTCTGCAAGATTCTGATATATTTTTCTACCAAGGCTTCAGTACATTTTCACTGTACAACTTGTTTTCTAGATTTCCAGAGAAGTCCTATTTATTTGTCTAGTCTATTTACAGATGATGTTAATTAGTTTGGGCAATGAAATGTCTGCAAGAAAACAACCAAGTGAGTGGATTTTTGCCTTGCCTTGCCCAAGTTCCTTATTTTTTTCAGGTTTTTCCTTGCTTCACTCCAGGGTATTGTTTTATTTCTTTCCTACTTTGTCAGAACTTCACTTTATTTCTTTTTAAACCAATCTTTTTGCTTAAAAAATCTTTTCCTTTTATATTTCTTTGCATGAATACTGGAAAGCAGAAAAGAAATAATGTAAACTTTGTTAACATGAATTTTTAAGTCACAGAAGACAAAGGTTCCATTGCTTCTTAACCCTTCCAAACCCATGATTGCAAGATCCTCTAAAAATTTAGATAGTGAGTCACCAGACCACATACAGAGTTAGCTTAAATATGTTTTTATTTTATATTTGGATAATTATTCAAGTTTGAGATCAGAAAAAAGCAGCTGTCAGGATTCAGTATAAAACAGCACTTTTCCTTATGTTATTTTTTTTAAATAAATGTAGAAAAACATTTTCCTTAGAGATCCAAAAGGGATTTCACTAGTCAGAGATTAAGACCATGTGGTTCATAGAAAGACTATGGAGAATGGGGGCGCGGTGTTTCATGAGTTTTTGAGTCATCATTCAATAGATTCAGGAAAAAGGAACCTCAGGTTTATTCTTACATTCAGAACCAGCCTTTCTGTACTTAGTTGCCAAATATCTGAAGTGAGCTTTCCCTGCATATTCTATAATTTTAAACTGTAGTTTTGGTGAATTAGTTCTATTAGATTATGAGAGCTCTGCCTTGTTGATGAAATAGCATCTTTGCATGTTCAAAAAGGAATGAGGACTATGAGTAAAGCTCATGTCTGACAGCCTTTAACAAGAAGCAATTTTCCAATACTTGAAGGACTGTCAACAAGGAAGAGGGTATAGATAATGTTCAAGGGTAGAACAAGAGCCAGTGGATAGATTACATAGGGAGTCCACGTTTGAAATAATGAGGTTTTTTTTTTTTTTTACCTTGATAGCTATGAAGAGAAAAGGAACAACTTGTCCCTGGCATTGTGGGCACTCCAGCACTGGAGGTTTGTATGTGTCTGAGATGGTATAAATTTTCTTAGTCCAATGAAGGCATTGGACCAGAAGATCCATGAGTCTATGAGTAAAATGCATTCTATTGGGACTTACATTTAAAATATTCAGAAGTTGCAGCAGGTTGACTGGTATTTTATGCTTTTTATTTTAAGTATTTTATATGGTATTTTCTGATGCCTACACAGAAATCTCTATATTGATTGCCAGTTGCTTACCAAGCATCGTTTAATATATTTGTATTTATTTTAAAGTCCTCAATGGCTTAAAGTTTGACTGTCTAAAAGACTACCTCCATGCTATGAAACTGTTGATGGTTAAGATTTGCAGGAAAATTCTTCTGAAAATGTCTATCTAAGGCCCATCTTTGTGGAATACTAATTTGATGCATCTGCAAGCTATCAAATGTACATTTGGGGGGATCATATTTGTTCTATGCTCTCCCAGCTTTTAAAACATCTGGCCAGAATAATTTTAAAAGTAGATAATATTGTATGTGTATCTAAGGGTTGGCATATAACTCTGTCAAGGACCTTGGAGTACTCATCTTTAATGATCTAGGTGCTAGAGCCCACTGTAACTACATAGCCAAAAAGGCATTAAAAGTTGTTAACCTAATCCTACGTAGCTTTTTCTCTGGTAATATCACACTACTAACTAGAGCATACAAAACATTTGCTAGACCAATACTCGAATACAGCTCATCAGTCTGGAACCCACATTACGTATCCGATATTAAACAGTTGAAAAAGTCCAGAAATATTTCACAAGAAGAGTTCTCCACTCCTCTACTCGTTGCAGAATACCTTATGCCACCAGACTTGAAATTCTAGACCTAGAAAACCTAGAACTACGCCGCCTTCTGTCCGATCTAAGTATAGTATATAAAATCATACATTGCAATGTCCTATCTGTCAATGAATACTTCAGCTTCAACCATAACAATACAAGAGCACACAATAGATACAAACTCAAGGTTAACCGCACCAAACTTGATTGCAGGAAATACTTCAGCAACAGTGATCAATGTCTGGAATACTCTACCTGATTCTGTGGTTTTTTCCCCAAACCCCAAAAACTTTAACCTTAGACTGTCTACTATTGACCTCACCCCTTTCCTAAGAGGTCTGTAGGGGGCGTGCATAAGCGCACCAACATGCCTAGTGTCCCTGTCCTATTGATTTTTTTAATTTTTCTTATATGTATCCATTTCATATATTCATAACTATGTTTATACTTATACCTATTATCTTGTAAGCGATTGACAAATCAAATAAATAAATAAAATAAATAAATATTACACTGTTGGTGGTCTCCTGGTGGTCTCCAAGCTTAGTTTTTGGTTTCCAGATATTTCATTAACATATTTAGTTAACTATACTATTGTAAGAATTTTGGAGAAATGAAGTTTATTGGTTGGCAGGGGTTGTATATCATTCTGTCTTGCCTACTCTGAATATGCTTGGATTCTTTCTTTTGTTAAGAAAATTATAAGAAGGAACTGGACGTGTAATTTAAAATACAAATGGACAAGAAGATCCAGTAGTGTTGCTACCTTTCCTTCCGATTCAGCATTTTGCCCACATTCATTGTGTACCTTGGAATCTAGCCAGGGGTGGGATTCAACCAGTGTTACTACTGGTTTGGTGACTACAAGCGTGTAAAAAAAATCATCAGCTGTGCTGCCTGGACAGTGAAAAGCGCTGTGCACGGGTGCACAGTGTTTGAAAAGCCTCTTTTTTCCTGCTTTTTCAACCTCAGTTGTGCCGCGCAAAGCAGCTGAGGTTGAAAAAGCAGGAAATAAAGGACAGGTAAGAGCCCGGGCAGGCAGGTGGGCCAAACAGCAGCAAACACAAAACTGGTTTGGTGTCCGCTGCTCTTCAGAGCTACCGGTTCTTTAGAACCAGGCAGAACCGGTAGCATCTCATCCCTGAATCTAGCCACTATTCATGAAGATTTCCCAGCAAGCACATGGCTGGTAACTGTTTTCATGTCAAAAAATTAAAGAAGCTTTGAACTCAAAGATTTTGCAAAAGAAAGTAAGCATATTAACTAGTCTACAAAGTACACAGAAAAACACTAGATGGCAAATAGTATTTGAGGTTTCTGTATCTCTGCTGCTCTCTAATGGTCTTTTTGACTACAGAATGCTTGAAGGGGAACTATTTGTTTGTACTGACAGATATTGGAATAGCTCAGAAGTGTCATCTAGTGGATATGTTGTTGATTTTCACTCACCAGAAAGTCCTCCAACATCCATCTTTTTCAAATTCTTGGCCTCCAGTATGCAGACAGTCAATTTCCCAGCAGTGGGTACATATCGTAATGAGATACAGATGTCTCCCAGTTTCTCTGGCTGTTGACGGAAATTTGGAAAACAATGAACTCAAAGCTCCTACTGTGTCTTATGAATTATCTGTGCCTATGATAGAAAGAAATGTAACTATCTTATTTGTAATGTGTTGTTTTGAGGCAGTTTTTATATGGGGGAGACCAGCCGTCTACTGTTGATTCTACCGTCTATTGTTACTCTTCCTTTGGCTGGAAAAGTGAATTTCCCTGTGCCAAATGCAAAGGATACATAGGATTACTTAGTTTCCCAGAAGTGCTCTAGAAACAGATGGGTTTTTAGATATCATCCTTGCTGCTTGTTCTTGATCACACTGACTGAGACTAATGAGAGCTGTAGCACAAAACATATTATATGAAGTTGTTAGTTTTGGAGGACAACTTCCCCTACAAAGTAGTTAGCTATACACATAATAGTGCTGCATTTTAAATCCAAAGCCTTCTTCTACAAACAAGGTAATAAACCAGAACTAGGTTTTAGGGGCGGGCCCATCACTTCCCTAACAGCTTAACAGCAGAGAGATAAGATGCAGACTGGTTAGAGATCAAGCATGGTTCAACTGCTCAAGTATGGGAGTTCTGGCTAGCAGGGACTTTTTCTTCCCAAGACCATGAGACTATCCCAAATTTACCACCTCTAGGTTCTTTGTAGAGAAAGTTAAATCCATATTTCACAACTGAAGTTCAAACAGCAAGTGAAGAAAACACTTACCTCCTCTTTTTCTGCACTCTCTAGATCCCTCCATTCTTCAATGGGTTGTCCTAAGTCCACAGTATTCATGGGTACCTTGACTTCCCCAATGATGTCATGCTTAGAAAATCGGTCAAAGTCATAGATGGCCATCACCAAAGTCTTCCCACCAAGCTCTTGGTATGGAATCTGTTACAACAAAAGTCAAGGAACTTTTTCAATAATATAGCATTTCTGTAGAGCTGTGGTGGTGCAGAGATTAGAATTCAGTACTGCAGGCTAACTCACTGCTCACTCCAGGACTTTGTTCTAAGCAGCTCAAGGTTGACTCAGCCTTCCATCCTTCCGAGGTGGGTAAAATGAAGACCCAGATTGTTGTGGGCAATATGCTGACTCTGTAAAACCACTTAGAGAGGGCTGTAAAGCACTATAAAGTGGTATATTGGCCAATATATTGCTATTGCTATATTTAGCAATTGAAAGGAAACATTGATAAACCTTTTAGAAAGGTCTTGTGTAGCCATAATCTATATTGGGTGCAAAAAATCTGGATCTTCACTACATGACAACAAAGAAATAGGGAAGAGACTACTTTCTTTTCATCTCGTGATATGGGATGCCTAATTTCATGAAATTTGATTAAGGCCCTTGCAAAAGAGGAAGAAAACAATGAAAAAAATGTACAAAAGCTTGGAGGATTACAAATAGATCCAGTGTTTCTAAACTGACATTCACATTCTGATTCTAGGATTAAAAATGGTCAGCCACTTTTTGTACCAAGAAAAGAACAACTTTTCAAAAAGTAGAAGCAAGTGGCTGTGGCTCACTTGCTTTAATTTCTAGTATATTCATTATGAAATAATGGTGGACTGAAGTACTTATTCATTAGTTTTAGGTGGAAGCTCCTCTTTAGAATACCATTCAAGCAGTAATAAACTTTTAAGATTTCAAGGGCATCACGTTACCTTTCAAGATAAACTGGTAAAGAGTTTTCTTTCTTTTTTACTACTCTTTAAAGGGGAACTTTTTTGTAATAATACAAGCCATCTCCCTGCATCTAAAAGCCTTAGAAAAATCACCAGATCTTTGTGTAGAAAGATCTTTGGCTTGACTTGATGCTTATTTTGCCTCAAATTATTTCTTATTTTGCTTTGTTTTTAATTTGTTGTTTTAAATAATACATTGTCTTCAAAATATTTTGAATTTTAAAGAAGGAAAGCATGATTAAAATCCAGTTACTAATTAAAAATTACTCCACTAGTATGTTGAGTAAATATGAGAATCAGCTTAATAAAATTGTCTCAAAATTTGCAACGCAAGAGGAGAAAAATGCATAAACTACTTCATACCTGGATTTTAAAATTTCTATTTATTCTCCTAGTAATTAAAAAAAAGCTTTGAAACTGTTAATGAATGGTCTAAAGACAGACATTCATATTAAACTATAGAAAAAATGGATCTGCCCACTTTCTGTTTAGCAGAAAGTTATAAAAACATAATATTGCTTATATTCTCACATGCTTAGGGGACTGTATGAAACTTCAAAGGAGTGTTTATTTCAACGAAGGCTCAGACATAATACATCTTCAGAACTGTTTGATGAAGTAATAGAGGCATCCTTGCTTCTAAGGCAAAGTGAAACTCCTGGGCATTAGGAGTTAGGCAGTCAGGCAGGTCTTCTAACCACAATGTCTTGGAGAAGTTCCTAGCTAGCATGTCTCATCCACATCATTAACTAGAGCTACTGTGGTGCAGTGGTTGCAATGCAGTAATGAAGGCTACTTCTGCTGACTGCCAGCTGCCTGCAATTTGGCAGTTCGAATCTCGCCAGGCTCAAAGTCGCTCAGCCTTCCATCCTTCCAAGGTGGGTAAAACAAGGACCCAGATTGTTGCTGACTGTGTAAACTGCTTAGATAGGGCTGTAAAAGCACGGGGAAGTGGTATATAAGTCTAAGTGCTATTGCTGTTGCTAGAGGACAGCAGTATTTTTCAAGGGTAATGGCTGAAAAGCTTTCATTGTTGGCTTTGACAAATATTATTCCCATCTTTATATTATGTCCATATTCCAAAAAATTGGCCTACAGAATTTAGTGGCCACCTAAACTGCTTTATCAAGACAAATGGGTAGCATTTTTGCCTCAGTGAAGCAAATAAGATTGCTTCTTCAAAATGAACTACATAAAATGCATAAAATTAATTTTTTTAGATAACTAATTAAGCACTACTAACACATGTATTGACATACAGTAATGCATAAAAGAAAACTTTTTAGAGAATTTAATCACAGTACTACTAACATGTAAATTGGCATACCGTATATAATTTACAGCATAATGCTTAAAACTAAACTTTTTTGAGAATTTAATCACAGTGCTACTAATATCTATTTCCTAAGACATAATTGCTAGTCACGTATTGTTTAGACAACTTTTCCAGTATCCTGGCAGTGTTGAGCCCTGCCAGCCATTTTAATTCTTGTTATTAAAATTTCAATCAACTTTCTTATTCTTTTTCTCCATTGTGTTTCAGTTCTCATTTACTGGTAGACTATTTATTATAGGAATAATGTCCTGTTGTTTGATATGGTTTCAAGTATTAGTTTTGCTACCTCCAGCTTCAGCATTTCATTACCAGCCTTTTCTTTTTGAGTTCCATTTGGGGTGAGGCTGGGTATTGATCACTGATGTACATAAATTATTTTGAAGGCAAAATAGCCAAGCCAACATACTAACCATGCAAAGAATATCCAGATTAGAAATCTTACCTTAAAGACAAAAGTCTCATTATAGGTTGGATTGAGGGTCTTCTTTTGTACTTTGGTCTCATACTTCTTCTTTTTGTCTGGAAGTAGGAAGACTTTGACATAAGGATCAGATGTACCTCCAATGTCCAATGCTGGCAGTTCAGCTGCTTGGAGGATTCCAACAGTGAGCTGTTGAGAAATAAATAATGAATGAAAGAAAGAAAGAAAGAAAGAAAGAAAGAAAGAAAGAAAGAAAGAAAGAAAGAAAGAAAGAAGAAAGAAAAAGAAGAAAGAAAGAAAGAATGATCTTGAAACAGTATGTTCCAATCAAAGTGGGAAACTATCTGATTTAATCCTCCTATCTTTAATGTACAACTCACTTATATTACTATCCAGTTCTTAAGCCTTTTTTCTGTTGTTTGGGGGAAGGGGGCAGAGCTGTTAATGCTACATTGAATTTCATTTGAAGAAATGCATATGGTTCATAATTAGGCATAAATAGAAAAAAATATTCTAATATCTTATAATCTGTGCAAATTGCAGTTTAGAAATATTCAGGTAAGCCATTCACCTGCTCTATCAAGAATTCCTAGGAATTTGCCTTCTAGATAGAGAAATGTCATTGTATCTTTTTCATTATATTATGATCACAGCACTATCAAAAGTATATATACTCAGTCCTTAAAAAGAAAGAAATAAACTTTGAAATAGAATAAAAACAATAAATTAAACATTGTGGCAATCTGATGCTTACATTCAGCACTGAGCTATTGTTTACCTGCTAAGATAACAATATGTAGAACCTTAGTAACACTTTATGTATGATGACTATTTGTCAGAGGTAACTGCATAAAAGTTGTCAGCACACCCCAGGAGTTTACCTAATAGGAAACTCTAAAAATAGACTTCCTATTCTTGTAATGAAAACATTATAGAAAGACATGACTAAAGTATCTATATCATCAAATCCAAAAAGGCAGATATATTATGTTCCTCTATACTTATATTCATACATCCTGGTACATTCTGAAAATCTCCTTCCCCTACTGCTGTTGGCAACATATCAAAATCCCAAGGAGCATCTTGTTAATTTCTGTGATAAAGGTAAGGAGGTGCTACCTGATGGAAGCCCATATTTTTAAAATACAAATATCAACCAGTTTGCCCCATATTATTCTGTTGATCTATATCCAGAAACTCTGTTCTCACGCAAGATTAATCAATGGAGAGTTTACAATAAAGTCCAAAGTTCTCACAGGTACCTCATGCTATCTGTCGCAGACCTTGAATATCTACCAACAAGCCATAAGACCTCTGCAGAAGTGCCATTTCCCAAATGGGGATCTGCAGATGTGCAATGATCCAGGAGCCTGAAGAAATCAGAAGAGCTGAGGCAACTACAGCCAATTTGATAGCTGCCACTCTGAAACCATCTTGGCTTCCAGTACTCAGAGAATGCACTTATAGCTTAATGCTTTAAATCAAGATTTCACTCTTCTCTAGGTTTCCATATTCCTTCACACCATCAGGATGACTATTGCACTACTAGTGCTATTTTCAGACTGGTCTAGAGCTACCCAAGACCTGGCAGCAATTCCAAGCCTATTTTCTTAAGAATTTTTAAACTTCTGTCTTCATTATCACTCTCAGTGGAGGAAGTTAGAATGAAGTTTTTTTTTTATTTACATTTATTAATGTGTATACATTACCTGGTTGGCCTGGAAATCATAATCTAGGGAGAACTGCAGTTTGCCCAGATTCTCTGGTTCTTTTTCCTCTTCCTCTTCTCCTTCTCCTTCCTCATCTCCATCATCATCATCATCATCCTGTTTGTTCTAGGAAAGAAATAGGAGCACATGTTTCCATAAAGAGTGACTATACATCAAGAGCCTTGTTCCACACGCACATATACAATATCTTATGTTAGTATAGAAACTCAGATTTACCATAGGAATAGAATGTGGCTTTCCAGCCCAAATGAGAAGGGGAGAGAGAACTGAGTTTCTTCGTCATTTTAATTTAGAAAACTAACATGCAACTTTCTTATTCCTCTCATACACATCTCAAATGTGCAGAGAATCTATCTCTTCTTTGTTGATAGATTTAGTGAAGGATACGGCTTGAATACTTCGATAATTTTTTTTTTAAAAAAATGCAAACATCTTACATATAATTAACACTTAAATTCTTATCTAATCAGTAGTTATGAATTCGACAATTTTTCAGGGAAAGCACTGCAACAGTGGTATTAGTGTAATTCTGCTTTCTCCTGTCTGGCAGCTACTAAATATTTTAGTCGGCAATTTTCTGGATTCCTCAGCCAACATGGTTAAATGTATCCATATATATCATGGAAGAAGTCAGGCTTGTGTAACAGCCAGCAAATGATACCAATCTCCAATGAGAAATCTATGGGAAATGGAGTAGCCAAGGCAGACAAAGCAGCTTAGAAATGCATTGTCCATAAAGAAATTCATTGAAGGGGTTTCCAAATAAATGGAAATCTTAAATAACCCCAATGATTTCTTTCTTATTTAACTTTTTAAAAAGATTCAAACACTCATACATGCATAAGCATGCAGATTATCCAAGGCAAACATTCATTATTCTTTCTCAGACTTCTAAATTATATTTTATTAGATTTGGCTAAATGAATATTAATGTCTGTTCTCAAGGCCAATAATGCTGGATAACTCTTTCAGCATTTTACCTGTCATACCTAGACCTTCATAGTGTCATTGAGAGGCCTTTTTGATGCTTCCTCCATGAACTCAACCCATGCAGAGTTTCAGCTTTGATGAGATATACAGGTAACACAATAAAATATTTTGTCTGTTTCAGTTAGTGCACCTTGAATTTTGATTGGACTTCATTCTGATTAGCTAATTATAAATTTTCTTAACCAGAAATGAAAGATTTTTTTAAAATTTTTCTCACTTAAAGTAGAACATTAATTTTAACTATCATTTATACAAAGTCTAAATATGGAACGTGGGCCCTCGGTTGACTAATTCCCATAAACCCTCTTCCCTTGTCCCTTTTGTGCCTCAAAGGGAGTTGACATTTGAATAGGACCTACCGTGTGTTGACATCCACGTTAGTCAGAAAAGATGGTGACAGAACAACACAGAACGATGACAAAGAGAGCACAGAAAAGGAAGAGAAGGGCATTATAGACACAAACACTTTACAAATTATCAACCTCACAAGTACTCCCGAGAAACTGCAGATTCCACACTTTCCAAGGCCCATTATAAAGGGATGGCTGCCCCAGACAGAATAAGCCAACAAAACATTAAATTCTAATATTTTCTAATTTCCCAAAGAAACTGGATTAAAACAGAGCTCCCACTTCCATTGCAATATTGTATCCTCGTAAAAGCAAGTGTAAGGCCCTCAACAAGGAGCATGATATAAATACATCAGTAGGTCTCCATTATGCCTTTGCTTCAAAACTGAAGTGGCCTTCTTTGGGGAGATCATTTTCAAAAAGTTTATTTATCAAGGTGTGTTGTTTTGGCTTAATGCACATCACTATTTTTTTTTTTGCTTTGTTTCATTTAATCCAATCAGTGAAACAAAAGGTAGCATTTTATATCAGCCAATTTCATCTTCCATATTTAATTGTCAATAGCACTATAAAAGAAAACTGAAGGTAATTAGTAGACCTGTGTTTCTCTGGAAGCCAAAAAGAAAAAAAGCACAGAAATACATAAGGGAACAGAGAGAAAGAGACAGAGAAAACACAGCCAATTAGTAATTGAAGGATGACCTCTCCTGTGACTAGAAAGGCCCTTTATGAAGAACAAGAATGGAAAATAAACTGCAAAGAAAAGACACACAGCTGTTGCAATGATCTAGCTAAGTGAGATTCTACACTTCCAGAGGTTAGAGAGGAAAAAAGGCTTTCTTTCTGTCTTTTACTATTGGCAGTCTTCCTTGACAGAAATTGGAGCAAAATAGTCACGGAAATTAGCCAAGGGAAGCTTTTGTTCTCCTTACAGTTTGTCACTTCTTTCATTTGTGCATGGATGGGCTATCAGACCAGGAGACATCTGATAAAATCATATACTGTACCAACACCTGTTCTTACTATGACTGGAGCGCCTCAATGAAAATGCCTCGTGAAATTTAGTTGCCTTTTAGTAGTCATCCTGACCATGGTTCCTGTTTGCTTAAAAAAATATGTATGAGGGTTGTAAATCTCAATCCCTGATGCATCTAAATACCCCACACTAATAACCACATCTATTTTCTGTCTGAAATCTTGGATGTTGAAATCAATGCAGTAATGAAAAGAACTGGAAAGCCTAATTTAATAGAATCTAAGTATTATTTCATAAACTGTAGATCGCATAAATGTTGACTGTTTTAATTTGGACCATGCTCAATTCATAGAGATAGAGGTCATGGACATAAAAGACTTCAGTCCTTTGGCTTTTAATGGGAAAAATTTGTAAACAAAGCAACCAGATGGTTTCTGTTCTTAGGAAGCTGGGTTAAATCCAATTCGGTCATGCATCGTCTTCTCTGTTTGACAGCTTGCCAGGGTCTCAAGTGCTGTAAGTACCCGAAATCAAAACTGGGTCCACAACATGTAAAGAATCCAGTCCACCACTAATCCTTATGCCTTTTATGCCATATCAGTTCATTAGTAATTAGAGATGTGATTCATAACACTAACTTTTCATACATCTTCTGAGGCCTTCTGCAATCCTTCAGGGAATTTATGAGTACCTATTCTTGTAGGCCTGTAAAAACATACACCCACAATATGATTAGGCCAGAGAAAAGGATTCAGGTTATTGGGATCTGCAAATATCTGAAAACTGTCATGAAGAAAATGGAGCAGACTGGCTCTTTATTGCTCTAGAGGGCAGGACTAAAAATAGCAGTTGGAAATAGTACAGGAAATATTTTCCAGCATAAGAAAATGGCCTTGGCAAATGGTAGACTCTGGCGAGAAAGTTGCAACTATATATATTTATTTTATAGATCATCTAATCAAGCCCACTATATTGAGCAGTAAGCTTGATTAGACGATCTCCAATATATCTTTCAAGTCTGTACTCCTAAATCAAAAATGACAAATAAGGGACTTCCTGCTCTCATCAACCCTAAACTCAATCTTAAATTACATGGTCAATGCTCAATGGTGAGACAGGATGGGAATTACTGTCTATTTGCAGTTATATACCTCTTTATTAAAATGAAGTAAGCATTTTATTTTATGGTTTGGTAAGAGAACTAATTCATACCTCAACACAGAGGAAACCCTTTGTAAAGTGAGTCCACCTCAAAACTGGATACAACAGCTACATACAATAGGGCAATTTAAATAATGAAAAAGACTGAAGTTCTGAATCCTTAAAGTATATCATGGAAAATGTATTTATGTATTAAATGTTGCCCATCTCGCAGTCAAGCAACTTTGATTTAACCTGATTAATGTAGTTTGAGTGATGGATGACAAAATGTTTCTCTACATTAGTAAAGCAAAGTATCCCAATATGAGAGAAGACGCCATCACCATTCATAGCCTGAGGTTTGTCAAGATTAATTGTTAATGTGATTTGCTGCTGAGCTAGTTTGACTTATGCTTACAAAACAGGTATTATAATCCTGAACAATAGAATAATGGAATTACTGAGATGGTAACTTCAAATGGGATACTACATAAGAAATTTTTATGAGCTGAGATTTATAGATGGTCCTTGGCAAATTGCTTCCCGAGACCATCCTTGCACAAATCCTCTTGTGCTTTTTGTGAATGATAATTTTCCATCTGTGTTATCTCAACAGGCTAAAATGGAATCATAGCTCTAATGGGGAAAAGGGTGTAGGTTATAAATAAGACTAACAGAAGGGCCTATCAAAGTCATCTTGGTGTTGGGGAAACATTAATAACAATCTCCTCCATCTCTTTCCTTTATATGTAAATATCAGGCAGGATTCTATCGGCTATATATGCTCCAAAACAAAATGGTTAGCAGTCTCCAATAGGAAGGGATAAAAAGGATACTTGCCTGTTTCTATTTTCCTATCTTTGATATGTTTAGAAAGCTGGAGGATATAGCCAAGAATCTATCCAGAAAATGCATACCATCCACATAATAGTGTGCTTGCATGATATAAAATACTGAATAACTCTATTCAGGCATTCTTAAATCTGAAGCACTCTCAGGTGAGCATCCAACATAAGCTCTGTTGCTGCCAATGTCATACAAATAATAAGTCTGCTTATATTGCACATTGAGGAAAAAATATGCCACAAAATACCTTAGCATTTTCAACTGTTTCTACCACTGGCTCCATCATGAGCCAGGCAGGGTCTTTATTCACATGGGTGTAAATACCCACAGATCACATGCACAATTGTTTTTCTCTGTCAGCCAATCATGCTTAATAGGCAAATATCTACAAAAGTGTGGAAAGTTTTGGAATTCTGAATGCCTGAATATAGTGAATGTTGGGTGTGCTTCTGAAAACTGATAGTTTTCTAAATTCATTATATTTATAATTTCCTAACACAGTGTTACAGCGTGATGTGCCTAATTATGCTACCTTTTTCTTTGGTCCCTTTGAATCAATGTTGACTCTTTGAGATTACCTGGTCAAGTCTCTGCACTTTATTTGGCAAGAGTTTCAGAAATGGTTTGTCATTACCTCCTTCCTAGGGCTGAGACAAAGTGGCTGGCCCAAGATCACCCAGCTGGCTTTGTGCCTAAGGTAGGACTATATCCCCCATTTTCTAGCCTGGTGCCTTAAACATTACACCAAACTGGTTCTCTAATTATATTGTTATAACCATCCCAATTTCATCAGAAAGAAAGCTCAGACTATCTTGTCTTTATGAGAACACTGTCTGCAGATTTCTATAGCGCAGCTTTCCCCACATGACTCTGTTGAGAGGTGTTGAATTGTGAGAATTCCCAGTCATTCTCTGATAAAAACATTCTCTCGGCATCACCACATTTTCCACAGAGTCACTATTCAGTAGGCAGAATAATAATACTTTTCTTGATATGGACACTCTGACTTCCTCCTTATTAAAGATTGCTGCCAAATGAAAACTTACTTTTAGAAGAGTTTGTGTTGGTACATCTTTTGCCTACATTGCTACTTAATGCTGACTTGATTCCTTGGGGTATCAGACTAGAGTTGTCCAACTTTCCCAACTCAACTGCCACCTCAACTTTCCCTGAAATATTTAGGGGGGGGTGGAGACTTATGAGCAGTTGAGGAACCAAAACACAAACAGGCTCAATTGTTGTGAATAGCCTCAAGATCACTGTGCTTGATACTGTAAGCACAAAAGGATCTACTTTAAATACTACTGTTATTTTTTGATTGTGTGATAAATCTATATCCTGTATATTTTCTCTAATACCTAGAGAAACTGTATATTGCATTCCTAGTTTACATAGAAAAGTTATTTTTGCATAACAGGAACTGAGTTCTTTGTTATGCTTTCTCACATGCTAAGAAGTGTAATGTTTTCTGAAATTCTGAGGCAAAAGAAAAAACAAAGTTAGAAACACCTAGAAATACCCTTGGTCAATTTAGGGGAAAAAAATAAAATATATGCAAAAGGAGATTAAAAGCCACTTCATTGCTTTTAAAAGTTATAAATTGGTTCCTTGTAAAAATGTTTGAAAAATATGTGTACTTTATATTAATTCTGTGTTATGCTTAAGACTTTTATATCACTTACTGTATTTTGGAATTCAGATAGTTAATACATTTTATAAATTTATAAATAAATAATATATAAAGAAATGTTTCATATATACAATTGAGAACTGTAGATTTCTGACAATAAATATTTTAAAATATTTGTTACAAATGGAATTAGAAGCTCCTGGTTTTATGGAAGGAAATGTATCCTTATTTTTGTCTTTATAAGAGAAACTGACTGCCAAAATTATAATAATAATAACAAATGGTAAAATAAAATAATAAAGTAAAATTAAATGCAGTTACAATACTGTAGTAAAGCCGTACTAAAATTAAACTATGGTATTGTAGTAAAGTAAGATTATAGTACAATAAAATAAAGTGACTTCTTGTTGCATCAAATACAGAAAGCAAGCAACTGTTTTATGAAAAAAAAAGCTCAGAAAAAAAGAGGGAGCAAAAGTTAGAATATGGATTTTGTCACCCGAAAACAGTGACTATCGGTCTCATTTTCTGAATTCCTCAACCTGAAATATTATCATGGTCTACCTCTTGATTTTTTAAGAGTAATCAAGTAATCAATTAAGAGTAATAGTTTTTAGACAAACTTTTCTATCCCTCCAGTTCTTGTTTATTTCTTGGTCTGGTATATTTTCTAAGACAGAGCAATTTGTTTTGTTTGTTTGCTCTCTTGTACTTTCTTGTACTCTCTTGTATCTATGCCATTCTAGATAAGCCCACCAGAAACATGAGCACTTGTTTCCCCATCTCTTAAATAACTGCAGTTTCCCAACTGGTCTTCATCCAATGATATATGTTCACCTGGCCTTTCATATCTTTCATGTTCATAGCATTTTTCATTCCCTTTTTGTCCTTCTTGTTCTTCTTCTTCTTGCAACAGCATTTCTTGCAGATGCAAAAGCAACAGGTCAGCAGTAACAATCCAGCAACGACAGCAATGGCAATCAGGGCCCATGGTGGCACTGTGAAAATATAGGCAGAATATGGGGAATGGGATAGCAGGAAGTGCTAGAGGTTTCATATTACATGCACAGCCCGCAAATGTCATTTCCTTAAGGCTGTGCATATCCTTTAAAGCAAGTTTAAAAGCCTGTGTGACTTCAGATGCAAGGAGAGATGGCAGAGAATGATTCTGAAGCAACTCCTCTGGGCCTTCCAGAAGATGCAGCTGCCTCAACTACTTGGGACAGGCTCTTTGCAGAGTGCTTCTCTTCACATTTTGCAGTGCCCAACTTATTTTTTTAATAGCATTTCTTTTTTATGTTTTCCAATTCAGGATCACCTACACAACTTAGATCAAAACATTAAAAGCAACTATTGAAAACACATTTAAAAAAGCAAAGTCACAATACAATAGTCAAGAAAATTGGGGTTATTATTAAAGTGCAGAATCAATCTCTGTTAAAACTTACAAGCTATCATCACTGCTGCAAGACTAAATGCAGAGAGGTTGGGAGGGGATTCCATAAATTAGGTAATTGTGACCCACTCAGAACATTTCTGAATGTTGCCACTCAAATGGCTGATCCTTTGGATCAGGGGTGTCAAACTCACATCCTGCGGTCCAGATAAGTCACGTGCTAGCCATACCCATGTCCAGTTTAGTGAAGGGGAAAAGTCATGATACATCATGTGACAATGCCATCAGAACGCAAGTTTGACACCCCTGCTTTGGATAATCTATTTCTAATGCAGAATCTTTTCCCAGTGTAGAACATTTCTTTCCCTCTTTGATTTTCTATAAACAAAGCCATCCTCCATTACCCTACATTACCTCAACTTGAAATTATTATTAGATTAACATAGCCTTTCTAGTAAGTCCTCTTTCTCTCTCTCTCTCTCAGTATCTTTTCACTAAAATGAAAAAAAAAAAAAGTATTTCAGGCCACCTTCTACTTTTATCAACAAACATCCTTATGTAGTTTGGTCTCTAATCAAATATATAATTCTATGTCTTGCAATTGATAATAAAAAGGGGTGGAGGGTAGATGGGCATCTAACCTTTACATTCTATAGATATGCAAAAGGTTAGAAAAAGCAAGGATGGAACAATGAGACCCAGAACTATGATGATACCAGATATATCCAAGATAAGATCATGTTACTTACAAGGTATACTATTTATTTCATTCATAAGCTTTTCTTTAAACTTTTCAAAAGTGTCCTCCGTACTCTCCACTGGGCCTGATTGCGTTCCATTTTCCTGGGAGACTGCTGGTGCTACTGTAGTGGTAGGAGGTACTGGAGCACCTGTGGTAACAGCTATTATGGGTTCAGGTTTGGGATGTTTTTTGAAGAGGTTCCAAGTCATCTTTTAGGCACCCTGAAAATCAGAGACACATTACATAGTTCAACCCAGATTTTTCCTAGAACATTTCATTTGACAGTAACATTACGTATAATATACAAGGCTCAATATTTGGTTTTCAAAGTAATTTACATACCTAACGTAAAATTATTTATATTCATATTTGCACTGGTATCTCAGAATAGTTCATAATTTCTTTATCCTTTAGATAAAAAAGTGGAATGACAAGGAAGACCACATATGATTTTTGTATTGCCCAATTCTGCTTTATCAGAAATACCTCTCACTGAGGAAGATGAACCAAAGCTACATATTTGTGGCAAATGTATGCGAACCTCTAGAATTATCAATTCATTTGAAGAGACTTTAGAGTCAGGTGTTTCAATCAAGGATGATAATCAGGTACAAGTGCGGGAGATATTGCTTTATTCAATGGCCAGATTCCTGGGCATTCACTATTAAAGTCTGATTTTTACCACATAGGTATGTGCAAGTGTATCTCAGCTTGAACAAAGAAGATTTCTGAAAACCTCAAAAAAAAACTGTTGGTGATGCTCATCAGACTGAAAAGTTACAAAACTATATCCAAAGAGTTTAGACTCCACCAGGCAGATAATGTACAAAGGGAGACAATTCAGCATCATTATTAATCTCTTCAGGAGTGGTGAACCAACTAAGATCACATCAACTACAAGTTGTGTAATATTCCAAGAGGTCTCAAAGAACTCCAGGGCAATGTCTAAGGAACTAAAGGCTTCGTTTGAATTGGCAAAAGTTCTCATGTGATCACCATCATGAAAACACTGAACAACAATGATGCATATGGCAGGACTGCAAGGAGAAAACAACTACTCTCCAAAAAGAACATTACTGCCTATCTATAGTTTGTGCAATGTGTAGTTTTGGATAATTTTCCTCAATAAATCAACATACAAATATTATGTTTTGATTCATTTGTTACTTGAGTTACTTGACTGTAGTAGAATTGTGCCATATGGGCAGGGTGGGATCTGACCGGTATAACTGCCAGTTCGGTGATCTACAATTTGCTGTGCATGTGTGTGAATCGTCGTCAGCTTGCTACCTGGACAGCTGAGCAGTGCTGCATGCGGGTGCGCAGCGTTTCAAAAAGCACTTTTTTCCTGCTTTTTCAACCGCAGCTGTGCTGTGCACAGCAGCTGAGGTTGACAAAGCAGGAAATCAAGATCAGGTAAAAGCCTGGGTGGGCAGGTGGACCAAAACAGCAGCAGACATAGAACTGGTTCTATGTCTGCTGCTCTTCAGAGCTACAGGTTCTACAGAGCTGGACAGAACTGGTAGAATCCCACCCCTACATATGGGTTTGGAACATATGAAGCAGGCAGTAGGAATAAAGAGTGCATAAATGGCATGTAACTCTCTTCAGGCAAAGCTTACCAACCTGCAAGCAGTCCTCCTATGACAATACTTCTCAATACAAAACTCAAAAATGATATCATACTTATCATAGGTGCCTTGAATACTAAAGTTGGAAGGAAAATAGCATCTGGAATAATGAGAAAATTAAGGCTTGATATACAAAATTAAGTAGGTGACACAGAGTTCTGCCAGGATAATTTGATATTAATATCAGTATCATTTCCCAGCATCCTAAAGAACAGGTCTAACACATGGACACTGCCATAGAAACAATATCAAAATCAAATTGATTGTAAATATTTTTCAAGTAAACTTAAGAGTACTACTCACTCAACAAAAGCAAAGCTTGGTGCTAACAACAGCTTGGGTCATGACATTCTTGTAAAAAATTCCAACTTAGATTAAGAAAAATATAAAGCTAACAGTCTCCACAATATTCCATGCAGTGTGTTATTCCAATATTCCAAGTATGCAGTGAATTAAAGACAGATTTGATAAATAGTAAAAAAAAAAAAACACAACTAGACATCATGTGCCTGGTTAGGTCATTTCAGGGATATTTCCTTACCTAAACAGGGAAACAGAATGAGCACAGGCAGGCAAAAAAAGCAGTGAGAGGGTGAGCGACTTCCAACTTCCTACTGGCTTCCCAATTGAGTTTCCTTGTGGAAAACTGGCAGTAGAAACTAGTACTAAAGGAACATTTCAGCATTTCAGAGTTCATTGCTTTTAGCTGTTATGCATGGGGTACATACAATTGGACATCAAAGAAAAGTCATCTCTCTCTCTCTCTGTATAAAACGGCTGTGAAAGTCTGACTCACAGATGAACACTACCTGATGATGGCAGATGAGATTCTGCCGAAACGTTGCTACAACTTTAAAAGCACAACTATAATGACGTGGGAAAATACCTGAACAAAGCTGAATACCATACATACATACATACATACATACATACATACATACATACATACATATGCATGCATGTGTGTATGTATGTATACCACTTACATGTGGTTATACTTGAGCAGAGCGAAGGGAAATTTAAAGTGGACTCTTAAGTGAAAAATGAGGAACTCACCACTATCAAGGTCCTATGTCTCCATATCTGAAACTGGTTTTCATTGCTCTAAGGCAGTGCTCCCCAACCTTTGGGCACCAAGGACAGGTTCCATGGAAAGAGGTTTTTCCGCAGACTAGGGGGGATGTGGTTTTGTGTGCTGCCTGCATCCCACAGATGCAGCTTCACTTGTTTGTGTGACCTGGTTTCTGGCATGCTGCGGACCAGGGCCAGTCCATGAACTGGGGGTTGGGGACCCCTGCTCTAAAGGATGCACATACTCATGTATACCCACTTATTTTATATGAATTAGATTTCATCTAGTTGCTCTTTGGTAGGTTTCAGAATTTCAACCGTAGCTCAAACCCAAATCCATCCTTTTTCAGAACATGGCTTTCATTCATTCACATAGAATTCCTACATATTTATGACACCAAATAAGAAATAACAAATGCCTCTTTTCTGGTTTTGTTCTTTTGCATCTCTAAGTGATTAATATCAGGGTTAACTGGGCAACAAATAATGTCCAACAAGTAATGTGTATAATTATTTCTTTCCTTTTGTAATCATTTAATATGATTACAAGAGAATGAGGGCATATTGGTGGAAAAGTGGAGGGCAAATGCCAACCTGGCAGTGGAATGGCTAATGAATCTATCATTTCCTGCTTCTTTACCATTTTAACTTCATTTCAAGTGTCTGTGAGTGGGAGGCAGCTATTTAACAAGCAGGATGGTTCTTAGGTCTATAAAGAAAATGTAAGGGAGGCAATTGACTATCTATCAACTGCTTTATGCTGATCAAAACAAACATTGGCTAGGAAAGATTATTCACAGCATGTAGACTCAGGTAGGAGATGTTGCAGTATCCATAAGCAGAGTGCTATTTTGTATACTTGAATTACACAGTTGGAAAATAAAGGCAGAGTACAAAAAGTTCAAGGCCAAACTCTGTATGTTTGCAATGTTAAACTAAATTTTGTGACATAGTCAGGCATGCTGTTAAAATGCAATTTATCAATTCAATACTTTTTCTTTGTGTTTTCCACTGATGTAACTATTCCCATTCCTGTTGCAAGACAGGGCAAAATGGGAAACAAAACAATACAGAATCTGCAGAGTACAGAGAATTGGATGCTCTTCTAAAATTACTGTCTTCAGGAGAACACATTGAATTGTTTTAGTTTCTACAAAAACAAAATCTCAGATTACATTTCTTCATGCATTTGAAAATGCAAATAATGAGAGAAATTTAGGGAACCTATACAAATGCTCCAAATGTTAACCTTCAGGTTGCTGAAAAAATTGTGAAGTATTTACAAAGAATATATGCAAAATATTTTCATGGTGTTGCAGAATTTTCCCTACCCTTTTAACGCCCCCACCATCCTTGAATATGTAATTGCTATCCTTGCATCAATATTGCATGATAAAGAATCAGCTATTTTCAGAAATTAGGTTGTGTAATGGAATGAGTAGATGGCCTTGGAGAGTGAGGGGAAGACATGCTGCCTAGGAAACTACTAGACAAGAGAGAGCAGGAGCCCCCAAGTGGCCTAATGGTCAATAAATCTGAAAGCACAAACTTCTGTCACTTTTAACTGCTTCATCGATTAGGGCAGAGTCTCCCTACACTTCTTTCTCTGGCTGTGAGTTCTCTTGCCTCTCTTGTTTGAGAGGTTCGGACCATACTTTTCCAGTCACAGTCTCTGCTTGGTTATATTCATCCTCAAAGTTCAGTCACTTTTAAACTTAATTTGAAAAACAAAGATCAATATGGCATGACTGGGTTATAGGTTTGCCTAATAAGCTAATTTTCCCCACAACCCATGGAGCATCTGATGCAAATAAAGGTTCTATTTCTGGTTATATACTACTACTTGAGAAGACCTGTTGTCTTTTCCCAGGATTTCTCTTTCCTCAGAAGCCTCTCAAAATAGGCAAGAAAAATAATAATCTTGTCTCTATAAAAGCCACAGTCGATTCTTTCAACAGGAACTGTTCTTAACTATGACAATTTTTCTTGCATTATATCAATTGTTAAGCTCCTGGCCTACATATCATTTCTTGTATTCTCCACTAAGCCTTTTAAAATTCACTTTGTATATGTTCCAGTTCTTAGAAACATATACTTTAAAGTCACACTTTAGTTTTAATATCTAACATTTTGCCCTTCCTTCCAAAATTGATTCACTCTATAGAACATTTGGGTTAGTTTTAATTATCCATTGATTTAATAGTCTCAACATGCATAGAAAGTGTATACTTCTGCTTGAATTGGTCCACCTTGAGTGTAATTTTTTTTCCTAATTACTGAGAAAACAGAATAAAAACTGCAACAAAGATTCCCTAGATCTTTATATCCCTTCAACCACTTTCCCTGGATGGAATTAGCAGTAAGTCCAAATTCCTGCAACTAGTCACTTAACATTTGACCTCAACATGGCAAAAATGTAAGACATTTCAGATGCAAGTGCTGAATTTGTTGAGAATTGGTAGGGGAAACGAAGTCAGAATGCATGACAAATGGATTTAGGGTATCTACCTTCAGCACTGTAAAGAACTGAAAAGAGCATTCTGATATTCATTGCAGATAAAAAGAGAAATATTAATAATCCAGAATGAAAATGGAACCCATTGTTTTAAAATTGCTAAGACATTGAAAATTTTTCCACTAACAGTTCAAAATAACTTTAGCTAGAGAAAAAGTGATTGGGAATATATACAATATGTACTTTTTATAACTTTTATAACTGCAATGTTGTGTCATTGTTTTTTGCTCAAGGCGAGCCTCTCGAGTTGCCAGAAACCATTTTAAACTGAAAAATCAGCTTCCTCCAAAAACAGACATCTTTAATTATCATCATCTTTTAACCATTTAATTCAAACCATTACCATTAAATCAGAATAAACAGACCAATTCTGCCTAAACCCCATAATGTAGCTGTCAAACCACTCCAAAGATTACTGCCCTGATTCATATTAAATATGCTCAGATGGAAAAATTATGAAATATGTAGGAAATATTTATTTATGAATCAAATTTATATGGCTGCTCATCTCATATAAAGTGACTCTTGATGGTATACAAATACTTACGAAATACATAGGAAATAATCATATTAACATTTTATTTTGGAAGACTCACATTTTTGGACCACATGATATCCTTGGCTTGAAAAATATATATGCCCCTATTTCAATTGGTCCAGTTAATGTGTAAAGTTTCTGGAATGTATCCCTATCCAATTATTCTAGATCCCCCTCTTTTCTAAGCAATAACACATTCCAGGAGTTTCACTTCCGAGGAGCAGAGGGGGAAACAGAGATTCAGTTTTGAGGTGGCAGGTGGAGGTAGTAATGCCTAAAGTCAAGCAACTCCAACATCCTTAGCTCAAAACGTGTATCTCCTCTCTTTCTCTATTGGCTGCATCTGCACATTCTAATAAACCATGATGAATTAAATTTGTGTAACATGTTTACTAGCATGATATGAATCCAGCTCTGAAGTTTGTAAACTATGTGAAGAGGCAAAGAAGAGATTTTAACAAAACCTTTGGCTTCATGTATTTGGATGTGGCTCCTTATAAATATACTGCTCAAAAAAATAAAGGGAACACAAAAATAAGACATCCTAGATCTGAATGAATTAAATATTCTTATTAAATACTTTGTTCATTACATAGTTGAATGTGCTGACAACAAAATCACACAAAAATTATAAATGGAAATCAAATTTAGCAACGCATGGAGGTCTGGATTTGGAGTTACACTCAAAATTAAAGTGGAAAAATACACTACAGGCTGATGTAATGTCCTTAAAACAAGTCAAAATGAGGCTCAGTAGTGTGTGAGGCCTCCACGTGCCTGTATGACCTCCCTACAATGCCTGGGCATGCTCCTGATGTGGCGGATGGTCTCCTGAGGGATCTCCTCCCACACCTGGACTAAAGCATCCCCCAACTCCTGGACAGTCTGTGGTAAAACGTGGTGTTGGTGGATGGAGCGAGACATGAAGTCCCAGATGTGCTCAATTGGATTCAGGTCTGGGGAACAGGCGGGCCAGTCCATAGCATCAATGCCTTTGTCTTGCAGGAACTGCTGATACACTCGAGCCACATGAGGTCTAGCATTGTCTTGCATTAGGAGGAACCCAGGGCCAACCGCACCAGCATATGGTATCACAAGGGGTCTGAGGATCTCATCTTGGTACCTAATGGCAGTCAGTCTACCTCTGGCGAGCACATGGAGGGCTGTGCGGCTAAAGAAATGCCTAAAGAAATGCCACTCCACACCATTACTGACCCACTGCCAAACCGGTCATACTGGACGATGTTGCAGGCAGCTGCAACATTTATTTATTTATTTTATTTATTTATTTGATTTGCCAATTGTTTACAAGATAATAAGTATAAGTGTATACATAGTTGTGAATACATGAAATGGGTACATATAAGAAAAATAAAAGAATAAGAGAAACAATAGGACAGGGACGGTAGGCACGTTGGTGCGCTTATGCACGCCCCCTACAGACCTCTTAGGAAAGGGGTGAGGTCAATAGTAGACAGTCTAAGGTTAAAGTTTTTGGGGTTTGGGGAAGAAACTACAGAGTCGGGTAGAGTATTCCAGACATTGACCACTCTATTGCTGAAGTCGTATTTCCTGCAATCAAGTTTGGTGCAGTTAACTTTGAGTTTGTATCTATTGTGTGCTCTTGTGTTGTTATGGTTGAAGCTGAAGTATTCATTGACAGGTAGGACATTGCAATGTATGATTTTATATACCATGCTTAAAATATACCATGCTTAACATTATTATCTCCATGGTGTCTCCAGACCCTGTCACATCTGTCACATGTGCTCAGTGTGCTCAGTGTGAACCTGCTTTCATCTGTGAAGAGCACAGGGCACCAGTGGCGAATTTGCCAATCTTGGTGTTCTCTGGCAAATGCCAAACCTTGTGTACGGTATTGGGCTGTAAGCACAACCCCCACCTGTGGACGTCAGGCCCTCATACCACCCTCATGGAGTCTGTTTCTGACCATTTGAACAGCCACATGCACATTTGTGGCCCTCTGGAGGTCATTTTGCAGGGCTCTGGCAGTGCTCCTCCTGTCCCTCCTTGCACAAAGGGGGAGGTAATGGTCCTGATGGTGGGTTGTTGCCCTCCTAAGGCCTCCTCCACGTCTCCTGATGTACTGGCCTATCTCCTGGTAGCGCCTCCATGCTCTGGACACTACGCTGACAGACACAGCAAACCTTCTTGCCACAGCTCACATTGATGTGCCATCCTGGATGAGCTGTACTACCTGAGCCACTTGTGTGGGTTGTAGACTCCGTCTCATGCAACCACTAGAGTGAAAGCACCGCTAGCATTCAAAAGTGTCCAAACCATCAGCCAGAAAGCATAGGAACTGAGAAGTGGTCTGTGGTCACCACCTGCAGAACCACTCCTTTATTGGGGATGTCTTGCTAACTGCCTATGCTTTCCACCTGTTGTCTATTCCATTTGCGCAACAGCATGTGAAATTGATTGTCAATCAGTGTTGCTACCTAAGTGGACAGTTTGATTTCACAGAAGTGTGATTGACTTGGAGTTACATTGTGTTGTTTAAGTGTTCCCTTTATTTTTTGAGCAGTGTATATAGATATGCATTCAGTGGGGTGGAAAGGGAATGGGATTTTGCAGTAACCTTCCCCCAGGAGTGGGGAGGGAATGGAGATTTTATCCTCCCCCCGCCATGCCCACTACGCCACGCCATGCCCACCAAGCCACAGCCACAGAACCGATAGTAAAAATTGTTGAATCCCACCATTGCTGCAGGGATAAAATGAAACATGACACCGCATATGACATCTTGGGAACTATAGACAAAAAGTAAAATATACATATAAAAACAGTGAAAAATATTAGTTTCTGTGCGGAAATATCCATTTCCCTTTATTAAGTTACTGAGCAGTAATCTACTATAATCTACTGTACACTGCAAAAATATCTCACCAATTCTAATCTAACATCTTGCCATATGCCACACTTTAAGAAAGCACACCCAGATTTTAAGGCAAGATAAGACCTTTTACAGAATTAACTCATAACTGGAACACATCTGAGTCAAGTATTTTCAAAATTCTTCATTGGTCCCATTGTAGCCTCTTATCTTGAATCTGTTGTCATTTATGGGGGTGAAAGGCCTGCATAAGAAACAACGGCACATGGGCATAACCATTTGTTTTCATAATCACCAGTAGAATGCATCCCTGAAATGGAAAACCAAAAGAAAGAAATCACATTATTTAGTTTTGAAAGAATCAAGTCTCAGGGTAATTAGCAACTCATAACATTAGTGGCAGGATAGATTACTGGAAATGAAATACTGAAAAGAGTAATGAAAAGAGTATATAGAAAGGTATACAGTTCTCAGCAAATAAAAAGCAAATTACATTTGACACGATCATTCCCTTTGTTTCCAAGAAGATATTCTTTTGTGAACTTCTTGAGTACTGTATTGCAAAAATGCTGAAAAAGAAATTCAAGTTGACACAGACATCAGTACATGGGGATAACGCCAGATGCTTAATTAGCGATTAAACTACAACATTGCCAAGTCATACAATACTAATCTGGTACATGAATGTACAGTTAGAGGACAATTCTTCTCGTGTGAGGATTTGGCTGTAATAATGTTATGACCAGCGTTGTACCACAAACACTACTGATTTCACAATCTCATTCCCAGAAACAAATCTCATCTTATTCCTTTTTGAATTGTTTTATCAATGCACATTTAAATAGGCTGGTAAAAGGTCGTCATGGTGGATACAACATTGGGTGCAATTTGTAATGAATATAACTAACTCATTTCTAATGAAGAGCATCCATTAAAACATACACACAAATGTTTCCACATATTTTAAAGAAGAATTGCATATTTATATCTATTTTGAATAACTTCAAGTGAGATAAAAGAGTTATAGATGCTAAGTTTCTTATCAGAAATCCACTTTGGAAGAGCATATGTGTCCTTGCATTCTCAGTTTCCAGACCTTTGGACTGGAAAAAAAAAAACACCACTGCAGTGTGCAGTGCACATAGTAACAGGTAAATACCCATTTCCCACAGAATATGTTGTTGGTATCATTCACCATATTGTATCTTGCAAATTTCCACTTTAAAAAGGGGAAGACTTGCTGCAAGCCATCATAAAATGAGAATCGAGAATATGAAAATCTTCCTGTATCCTATCCTTCAAAGAAAGGTAGTATCATTATTAAAAAAAACAGGTTTTCTTAGGCATATATGAAATTTTATATCAGTTTCAGTAAAGGATGACCTTATTTTTTCGTACTCATCCATACCTGATCTATGTCTATAGGCAACTTATTTTTTAAATATATAAGTCTTCAGTTTACTGGAACCATAAATTGATGAAGAAATAATAATATCCCAGGTCCTTGGGAAGGTGGATATAAATGTTCCAAGGTGCCTTTTTTCAGGAGGCAATTGGGCTTCCTTGTTTTTTCTTTGAAGAACTTTCGCTTCTCATCCAAGAAGCTTCTTCAGCTCTGACTGGATGATGAGGAACAGAAGGATTTATATTTCTTGCAGACAGCTGGTCATTTGCTAATAGACTTCAACAAATAATCTCTTAAGGGATTAAGAATGATCAAGTGAGTTTTATCAAAACTTGATACATATCAGATGGTATTTAATGGGTAGTAAATCTCTTTGGCCAAAATGGAATACTTGTTAGATAAACATAAATTAGCATTTATGTTTATCTGTGTCCTCAGGGTCACCTGAGTAGTGTAAATGGATATGGAGTTTTCTTGGCTGCATGATGTTTTCTGCCCTGTGTCCTTTCCCTGTTGAAAATAGGCACAGGCTGTTGGGGATGAGTCTGTGTTGTCTACATCTCAAACTGAAACACAAATGATACCTGTAATCTGAATTTTTTTTTGGGGGGGGGGGGGGAATAGTGATATTGATGGATTATACCTAGCCTGCAGCAATGGAGGCAGATATTCACTTCATGTCAAATGAACTGTGGAAGAAGAAAAGCATGCATTGGCTAAAGACAGCCAAGAACAATAGAGACTGATGAACTCTTGACTCATAACACACCAGAGAAGACAAAGAATTGGGAAAGATCACAAAGTATCAAGATCTGAAAATTGAAATTGACAGATTATGTCATAAACCAGTACTATGCAGTACTATGCATAATAGTATAATTCAAGATTCACAAAAAAAAAAACCAATACATTGTATTGAATATTTAAAAACTTTTTTCAATATGTATACAAACCTGTTTTAAATAAAATTTAAAGAATCCTGGTACATTGATTGTAAGGTTTATTCTGACTCTTCATATATTTTATTCACATTCAATATAGATATTTGAGAAAGATTGCTTGGGAAAAGAATGCTTAAATAATTGATGAAACTACAAATGAAGATGACAATAATTTAATATATAAATAAAGAAGTCTTCACTTACAGACATCAATTCTGACTTAAATTAATTAACAAGTATTCCATTTTGGCCAAAGAGATTTACTACCCATTAAATACCATCTGATATGTATCAAGTTTTGATAAAACTCACTTGATCATTCTTAATCCCTTAAGAGATTATTTGTTGAAGTCTATTAGCAAAAACAGCAGTTAAAATGTAGTATCTATAATCAATGAAATAGGTTATTAATGCTACTTCAACAATTTCAAACATGCAAAACTGAAAACCCTTCTGTATTACATCAAAATCCAATCATCTTAAATCTGCAACTACAGCATTTACTAAAACATGAGAAGCTGGTATTTCAGTGTTTCTCTACTGAATGACAGCATCCATGTTATTATTTTCTCAGAAACCTTTACAAATAGAACTCTTCTGGAGAGTACACACATTCATTTCTTAGAGGTGGTTTCTTAGAGGTGGTTTCACTTCTTCATTATATAGTACTGTTTTACCATGACTATTTAATTGTATAATTGTATTTTGTGATTAATATTACAAAGTTATTAACAACAGAAATAAAATGTCATTAATAAACAGTAGAAGGTTATACTAATTTAAAGATGTACTTAGTTAAAGAATACAAGTTAAGAAGGTGTGTTTCTCAGGGGGAAAAAATCAAACTATTTATCTATTTTACTTATTCAAATTATAAGGTAAGCTTCCAAAAAAAAAACACCCATGAATGCTGAGGAAGAAATTCAGATCAAAATATTTTAAGAGAACTTATAGAAAATATAAATGTCAAGCACAAAAAATCAGGAACCAAGGTGGTTCAAATGAAGACAAGTTTATTGCATGCTATCGCTCTCTACCAGAATATGATCTACTAATGGTTAAGGCAAATGGTTGAGGTAGATAAGGGTCAATGGGACTCAGGATGGGCTGGACTTAGATCTCTTGTGGGCATGAATAGGAAACTGATGATGTGCTTGACCCATGGGCTCAGCCTGGTCATCTCCTACCACATAGCTATATATCTTTTTCTATATATCTATCTACATCTACACACCCCAGTACTTCTAACAAATGACTATGTCATCTGGAATTATTAATAAGAATCCTATTGCACATTGAATGACAATATTAGGGAACTATAATCTACATAGTTGGGAACTACAATCTATATATCCAGGATCTTACACACAGTATAATCAGCTCATGGGCTCTCCATTCTCTTGGATAACTTCCCATGCCACCATGCTTTTCAATTTCACCAGTTGAAGTTTCCAGATGTTCTTAAAAGGTAACCTCATAAGTGTATTGCAATAGTCCATTCTGGACCAAGGCATGAGTAGTAACCAAACTAGTCACTAACTATGAGCACAATCAGTGAACCTGAAGGGCTATGGAGACCTGACTCTTCTCCCAAGACAGGTCCAGAGATCTTATGGGGATAGATATGGGGACACCCCTTTGAATGCTACCTTAACCTGGGACATGTACCAGGTGTCCCAGTTTTAAAATCTGAATGTATCTTGGGGCACATATATTTGCCTTTATTCACTACTTTAACCTTTCGAGTGAAAATGGGAAACTTAAATCAATGTTCATTATTACAATTCTGGGCATTTTGACTATAATTCTGGGGAATTGCAGGTTTTTTTTTTACAACCAATATGTTTAACTGAAGAAAAGCTATTTGAATAGCTTGAGTTTCCCCTTAAAATTCCTCTTCATTCTTTGTGCAATATTGCTATAGAGAACAAAGAGAAACCTATGAATGTAAAAAAAATAATTATGGTGATATTCCAAAGACTCCTCTTTCAATCCAGCCTGGACTTTTCATCCACTTCTGTCCTAATCTTTGCACCAATCCTTGCAGCTGTCATCTCGGAAGTCAGCAAACAGCATCATGCATATCATGCAAAGACAGAGTTAATTCTGCAGTAGTGGAGAAACAGACAGGAAAAAGTGCTGAGTCACTATGCTACCTTTCACTGCAGTGCTTTCATCCCACCCGACAGAGAGAGCAATCCATGAGCAGGAGCAGCTGAACTAATCTTGTTTATTTTCAGGCATATGATTCTCCCAGGATGTCATTCCTCCTAAACCAAGAGAGGCATAGAAGGACATGGGCTACACATTTAGTCCCATGGAGTCATAGCAGCCACCTGACTGCAGAGGCTGGTGCAGCCACCCCACTTTCTGCTTCTCCCCACATTCCAGCATTCCTCAGGCAGCCTTAGGGTCACCCGGTTTACACGGAATTGTTTCAGATCCCCTACTCACAGAGAGAATGTCCTGGCAGACACTGTAATGATAGTACCCCTCAGTGTTTCATTTTAAAGACATATTCAAATACATCCTAAATTTCTTTTTCCTTGTTCCAACTTTTTAACAATCCTCCAAGAAACCACAGAGGACATCTATAAAAATGGGAAGGTTATTTTGTATCCACTTTTACATATTAAAAATTGGTCTAAGCATGCATTCATTTGCAAATCCGTTTGTGTATATTTGTGTTGCAAACACAAATATAAAATCCGTATAATCTAAAGCATGGGATTTACTTTGCCTTTTATGTTGACCACAAAACAAAACTAATTAGCATCTATATATTTAAAGATTCCATTCACTGGATATAATGACCTTTTTAAAAAACTAATGCAATTCTGAAAGGTCCGTCTCATAAACATATTGTAGATACCTAAAATAAGTGTCCCTACAGGGACAAGATTTGAACTGATTTTCACAATTTGCAGCTTAATCTACATATGATTTAATGCACTTAAAACCCAGATTCCCTAGTCCAATTGAATTCAATGAGATTTTCTCCCAAATTAAGACTGTATAACATGTGCCGTTATATTGCACCAGCTGTCTCTCCTCCTGTAACAAGTTTACAGGCTTGGCACAAATCATGCAGAGTTGCATAAAGGGCTCTTCTCAGCTGCCAAAATGTGATCTCGTAAGAACAGCTGTGCTAGAGGAAGCCAAGGCCCTTCTTAGTTTATATTTTATTTTCAGAACAACCAACCAGATGCCTTGGAGTTGTCCC